CTGGACCGGGAGGATTCTTGTCTCCATGTGGTGGTCAGCATGGCCTGGGGGCCGGACACAGCATTCTCTCCAGGACTCTCTGGCAGTGTGTGTGGGACCAGGGCTCCTGCTGCGGGATTCAACTCCAAGGCCAGGCCAGGGTCCTCCTAACGGCCCCAGGGAGAAGGCAGGCAGGGCCAACCCGGGGCTCTGGTGGGGCAGGGTCCACTGTGCACCGGGGGGAAGGTCCCACGGGCAGGACCGGCAGACAGGAGTGTTTCAGGGGCAGCCAGGGGGCAGGCACAACCCCCGACCGGAGGGAGGGCAGAGCCAGCGAAACAAGAACCACTAAATTCTGATTCACTCCTGATGGATGACAGGAAAATCGATGAGCTGAAAACGGATAGCTCTGAACCCTCCCCAGTCCCCAGTGTCATTGCGCCTGCCTGATCCACATGGTCATTGTTCCTTCCTCCCAGGTATCACCTACCCATAAGCCTAGGGCCAGCCTCAAACACCTGGATCCTCTCAGCCTGAGCATGAAGGGTCCAGGCCAGGGTGGGGTTGATGGGTGGTACAACAGGGGCCCACTATGGACCTGGCTTCCCTTATGCCCTTTGAGAGATATCAATCCACCCATCCATCCATCCATCCATCCACGTCTCCATCTATCCATCAGTCTCTTTATCCGTCCACACACCCATCCTTCCGTGCACCACCCATCTCTCCATCCACCCATCCATCCAACCATGAATTCATCCATTCATTCATCCATGCATGCATTCGATCATTTACCCACCCATCCATTCACACACACACTCATTCATTCATTCACTCATGCACGCATTCAGCATGCTTACCCAGCCTCTGCTAAAAGCCAGGCAGTGTGTACAAAGCCTGCAGCCCCCCCTCTGAACTGACTTTGTTGGCAGAGGTGTGGTGTGGAGCAAGACCCATGTACAATGTGCAGGAAGCTGTCTGGTGGACAGGAGTCCTAGAAAGAGAGACACAGCCTGGCCTTGGAGCAGAGTGTGGGGGAATGAGAGAAAACACCCCTGAACTCTCCCTTCACAGTGGAGCCCAGATGGCACTCGTCGTATCCCCCCTTCCTCAGGGGTATTTGGGTTTTGAAGGGCCTGCCGTGGCCGACCCTAGAGTGAATGGAGGGGTATTAGGCGCGGTGTCACCTGGGTGAGACAGAGGCTCGGGCAGGGCAGGCTGAGGCTGGTGACAGGTTGGAGGTCTTCTGAGGTAGCGGGAGTGCATGCAGGCTGAGCCCGCCAGCGCTGTCCCCCCTCCTCACGGGGGTCTCTGGAGCCCCCACTGGGTCCTGGGGCCGATGGCCCCTCCCTGGGGGCTCTCGCTGCCCCCTGCTCAGTCCAGCTCAGACTGGGCACCCAGCTGGATCTCCCACCTTTAATTCAAATCCCTGTTTATGCCAACAACCGGTTACCATGGAAATGTCCTTGGGACAGGGTGGAGGGTGGAGAGGGCGATGGGAGGGAGGGCCGAGGCTGTTCCTGCAGAGACGACCTTCCACTTTTGCCGGTAGTAGTCCTTGGAGTTGGCGCGACACTGACTGGGGGTGCGTCTGGGAAGGGGCCTCTGAGGGGCCTGTTCCACATCCTTCCTCCCCTCGGCCCCCACCCGTGATCACCCTCGGGGGACACTCTGCTCCTGCCACCAAGGCCGTGAGACTCAGGGCCACGGAGGCGCCCCTCTCTCAAAGCTGGTCTCATTTGTTTGTGAATTTTTCCACTGAAACGGCCGACTCAGGAGCAGCTGGAGGGAGGGGCCTCGAGGCCCGGAGTAAGAGTCTAATTCAGCGGCCGCTACGATGATTACTAGGCTCCCACAAGGAGTGCTTTCCAGCCGGGTGCAGGTGGGGAGGGAGGACCTTGCAAATTAATGAGTGAGACCCGGTTAATCTCGCTGCATTAGCAAATCTGCAGGGAAAGCCAAATGAGGTTGGACAGATGTGTGTGAGCGTGCGCACGCCAGCCACGGGCCTATGTCCGCCAGAGCCTGGTCCCAGGCACCAGGAGAGACAGGCCCGCTGGCCTCTGCTGGGCTCTCGGGCTGAATTCACCCGTGGGAGTGGCCATCAAGAGCCACCATCCTGGCTGCTGAGCTGGCCGAAGTGAAGGGGGCAGAGGGTAGAGGGGATTTAGCCTGGGCACTGCGGCAGGCTCCCGCCGAGAGCCAGGATCCCCTTTCCCTGTGCAGGTGTGCACCCCCTGCGGCCGGTCCTGCGCCTGCTGTGGGCCAAGACACCGGGCTGTCCCCCCCTGGCCCAGGGCTCGGCCTGACCCTCCTCATGGGTCCTCGGGACTACGCTCCTCTGTGCCCCTTCTTCCAGGAAGCCTTCGCAGATTGGCCCAGCTCCCCGCACACCCCCTTCTCGTCTGACTCCAGTCTGACAATTGCAGGAGCACCTCACCTCAACCAGTCCTGCGGGAGGAGCCTGAATGCAGGGGCGTGAGGGAACATCCTCATCCCAAAAGGCGCACGTTTGCTGTGGGAGAGTGGGACAGGGCAAAGGTCACTTCATCAGTTAGTGACGAGCCTGTTTATGGCTCGCCTTCCTCGATTGCCAGCTGAGTGTAATGATGATGTCTGCTTCACAGAGACGCTGAGGTAGTTGGAACGGCATTCCAGAAGGACCCAGAGCATGGCTGGCCTCTACTACTGACAAAGGAATGTGGGACTGACCGGGCCTAGACTGTCAAGCAGAACGCCGTTCTATTTGCTCTGGGACATGCAGAACAGGGGATTTCTCGAAATCAGACACAAAATCGGAGGCTCCGGGCAGGTGCTCCCATCCGTCCACTGGCACCTGTCACCCTCCCTGGTCCCCTCCCTGAGAGGGAGGCTCCAGCAGGTTCTAAGTCTCCTGGGGATGAGGTGGCTCTTGCCTGGTCCAGGTGAGACACGGGTCAGCCGGGTCGGGGTGGGGGGGGGGTCTGAAGGACAGCCCTGTGCTGGGCTGGGCAGTCCAGGTTCCCCAGAGGGCAGGCTTCCCTTAGCTCCAGGAAATGACAGACCATGGGGTGCTCCCAGGAGTCTGTCTCAGTAGGGACACAGGCCAGTCCTGGGACACACCATGCCCAAGGACTGAAGGTCCGGAAGCCAGGCGGCCTGGGCTGGAAACCCTCTGCTGGCCGGATGAGCTTGGGCACGTGGCCTAACCTGTCCATGCATTTACCTCCCGATCCGGATGCAGGGACAGCAAGAATCCACCTCACAGGGTGTAATGGGTGACAGCTCATCACCTCTGAGACTGGCCGCTGACCAAAAGGGCTGAGCCTTTTGGAAGCTCTATTTGTAGGCAAGTGTGGGAGAGCCTGCAGAGAGCTCCCATGAGAAAAGCCCCTGGAGGTCTCAGAGCAGATGTGATGAGCTGTGCTGAGCTCAGCCTGGGCTCGGAGTGCAGGTGGGCTGGGGGGCAGGGGGAGATGGCGGGGCAGGGGCAGGGGCAGAAGAGATGGGGGAGGGGAGCCCAGCTGGGAGGGGCAGGGGGAGATGGGGGAGGGGAGCCCAGCTGGGAGGGGCAGGGGGAGATGGGGAGGGGTCAGGGGCCCTTGGGACCATCGCCTGTGTCTGTCCGGGTGGGGAGAGGCGGAAGGGGCTCCTGACAGACATTCTGCCCCCTCAAGGGCGGGCTCTAGGCCAGAGGCTCTCAGTGGAGCCTCTTCTCTGCTTCCCACCCTGACCCGAAGTCTCCTCCGGTGTGGGGGCTCCAGGAACTCCGCGCAGGGATGGCGGCCCGGCGCCCTCTCCTCACCACGACCCGGGTTGTGTGGCACAAAGCGACCCCTCCCAACCCCCTCCGGGCACCTGCTGCGGGTCCGCGGCCACCTCCGCCCACTTGGGGGCAGACCCCCTCCAGGGCACGGGGCACGGTGGCGCCAGGCACCTCGGTCGCGGCTGACATTGTCCACAACCGGCCCGCGGGCGCCGCTGGACTGTCCTCCAAACCACCCCGGCCAAGACCCTCGGCCGCTGTCCGTGGCGCGCGCTCCAGGCCGGATCTGGAGGCAGCAAAGCGGCTTCGCCTGGGGCGGGGGCGTCAGGGTCCTTCCCTCTCCCCAGAAGGGCGGGCCGCGACGCCTGGGCTCCCCACTGGACGCTTCCCGGTCGGTCCGCGGGGGACAGGCTGATAAGGGGTGGTCCTTCCCGAACGAACGCCTCGCTGGGGAAGAAGACAAGGGGGTTGTGATTTCCAAACTGCGAAGCGGGGCGGGGGTGATGGAGTTAACCAGGCGCGAGCGGGGCGCCCCGAGCCCCTGGGTGCGCGTCCCCCATCCAGGCAGGCGGCGGGGCGCCAGGAATGGGGACGTGGGTGGGGGGCGGGGGGTGGAGGTCAGCGTGTCTCGGTCCCGGAACCAGCCGGTGGCAGGATCCCCCAGTCGCACGCAGTGACTATGGGCCCCCGCCCCTGGCTCGGGCACGTCCCCGGCCCCGGGAGGACGACGGAAACTTTACCCCGGAGCTGGCCGAGCGCAGCCTCCGCGCCCCCTCCCGGCCGGTGGTCCGCTCCCCCCACCCGCCCTCCTCCCCTCACGTCCTCGCCCGCTTCCCCCCTCCCCCCCTCCTCCCCCCCTCTCCCTCCTCC